TGACTATGCGTTTCATTTAAAAAATGTGAAAACACCACCACAGCACTTACCAGCAACAGCTCACTACGTGGCTCCCCTGTTGGCTCCTCGTTGAGCGTGAACTCGGGACTGTGTACATTGAAGCAATAAAATAACCTGCTCCAGGCTCCGTCCAGAGGTGGTTTATGCAAAGCTGCCACCTCCACTCACTTGCTGTTTGTTACACAGCAGGAGGTGACATAGCTTTGACATGTTGGCCTGATTAATTGATACAGCGTTTTTCAAATAAGAACCCCATTAAATATGTTTTAGTTCTCCCTACACATTTTCAATGAAATTATAGATTTCCAAGGTTTACTTTCTTCAGCATCACTTTATCTTCAAAGACCCTCTTCACTTGAGTCAACTACATATTCTATATACTTTGTAGTCACTCATTTATGCAAATGGGTATTTGTCTGATTATCCAGGATATAACCTTTACTTAAGTGGAATGCTGAACTCCAGGCATGGGTGTTCTTAGTCTTCATCCCCCATTTTTAAACTTAAGGGAAATATTGTCACTGCTCTGCCTTCGAGGGAAAGATGGGCAGTGTGTTGCCATGGTGCAAAAACTGCTATCTTTGGTCACATGGGTACCATGTTACACCCATACCATGTCCACTCAGCTTACAGGGGTCTTACTACATCATCAGAATGTCATTGTTTGTCATGGTGCCCTGGTGTTCTCCTTTTTCTTTCTAAAGGTGAGAATGTGAAGGAAAGTGGAGAGAGATATAACCTGTGGAGAGAGGGAGGCTTATGTCTCTTTGGTGTGATGTGGCTGAGGAGGTGGAAGAGCAGATGACTGTACACGGTGCTTCCTGAGGGCAGTGGGAGTGGAAATGAGCCACAGCAGTACTAGGAATTCCTTCCAGAAGTCCTCGAGTGAGAACAGACTTTGAACTTTTCTGCATTTAATAGTCTAGTCACACACTATCTACTAATGAAAGTTAATGCTCACATCTAATAATAAAATAGATTTATATGTAAAACGTTTGATCTCCCTTAGTGAAGGAAGTGTATGTCCATCAAACTCTTTGCTTAGATCAATTCACATGTGAGCAGGCAGGAAGAAGAGAGAGTCAGAGGTGGGAGAGAAAAATGGTAGCAGAGGTCAAAAGTGATATAAAGGACTATAAGCTAATTCTTTTCTTCCTCTTATATTGCTATATGACACACTTAGATATAGCCTTCACTGCCTGAATTCAAATGTGTGCGTGTGGGGGGGATTTGTGGAACTTTCATTTTAGTTTGGTTTGTGCCTTGCACTGGTATAGATTTTTAAAATTAGTCTTCTACATAAATCATTAATAAAGTAAAATGTTATGCTAATTGGAGTGTATGGGGGAACCAAGCCATATTGGAACCAATTGCTGCTGTCCTTGTTATATTGCACTTTTTAAAAACGAAGCAAACACTAGATGGATGTCTGGAAGGAAGTAGTAGTACATCCCCCGCCTTTCCCCAGCCCCTGTTAGGTTTGGGAGAACACCAGTGTTTCGTGGGTAAAACGGCTCTAACTGCTCTGTCTGTGAGTTCCCTTTCCTTCTGGGGTGGGAGAAACTTTCAGCATCTGGAAAGGTTGCTTGAGGAACTGCAGAGCATGGTGGCTAAGGACACGTGCTTGAAAGTCAGACTCCTTGAATGCAAATCATGGCTTATTATGGCTCTGGGCTCACTCCCTGGCTGTCAGAAGGATCACACTTATTAAAACACTCAGACTTGGATCCGGCACATAGAAAATACTCCATAAATGGTTGCTGGTGGTAACATCTCACAAACAGAGTGAAGCAGATTGGTTACAGTTTTCTATGACTTTACTAAAGTAACAGGGTTCTGCTTGGTATAATGATTTTTAAATTCTGGATTTGGGTTTAAGGATTCAGAGTAGTAATATTTTTCTGATTGATAGTCTCACTTATATGTGAGGTCATTTTAGATTTTCCAAGAGCTCATTTTAAGTTCACTCAGATTCACTGAAATCATAAAAGCTAAAAAGAAAGGAGTAGACAGGAAGTAGAAATGCCTAGATCCTCAGTAAAAGTTGGGAAATAGAGCATACTGAATTTAAAAAGTGATGGAAGGGATAGTGGTGAGCAAAGAGCAACCTTGCTCAAACCGTTTTCCGCTGTCTGGGAGACCATCAAATGTGGAAAGTGAAGTGGGGGAAGAGCCAAGAAAACTATAAGCATCAACTGAAGGGTTTAAGTGCTGGGCTTGACCTCCAGAGCACTCAAACCTGCGGGAAGAGCTTACTCGTACTCTCCCTACCTCAATATTGGTGGCTCCATTCAAAAATGAGGTTTAATTTTTTTAAAGAAAAGGGAACTAGCATAAGGTCCTTGCTAGACTGAGAGAGAAAGAAGGAATGTAAGAAAAAAGCTAATAAAAAACGCAGATCAAATGGGAAGTTACCCAAGAAACAGAGGGAAGGTTCAGACAAAGTATAGTTCTTTATAACAAACAGTCCTTCACAATGTCAGAGCATTTACAAAACACACTCACATATCTCTCTGTCAAGGAAAAAACTGGGGGGAGATAGAGAAGAAAAAAGAAGGGATATGTGTTTAAAGATGATATAAGTCAACAGACAGAGATGAAAAGTGATCTCTCAGATCTTAGGGAAAATAGTAGACAAAAATCAAAAGATTACCGAGATTGAAACCATATTAGAAGAAACAAAAATAGAAAAATTATAACTGAAAACAACCAAGGAAATACAGTGATCAGACTAAAGGAAATCCCACAAAATGAAAAGAAAATATAAAATAGATATAAAATTATAAGAAAGTAAAATAATAGATAAAAGTATAATTATGGAAGATTACCAAAGAAGAGTCTATACATGCAAAATTTGTATTCTTGGAGAAAAAAGCAAATAGAAAAAGATTCATATGTAATATGAACACAGAACAATAATAGAATACAAATAATTCTAACAGAAGAAACTTTTCTTCAGAGAATTGAATTTAAAGATAGAAAGGGCACACACAATGTCTTGGGAAAATTGATACAGAATAATTAATACCAAAACATACCACAGTGAAGCTACTGAATCAAGGAAAAAGAAAATCACATGGGTCCTAGCCAATGTGGCTCAGTAGGTTTGGTGGCATCCCGTGCATGGAAAGATTGCTGGTTCGAACCCAGTCAGGCACATGCCTGGGTTGCAGGCTCGATCCCCAGTGGGGGGTGTGAAGATGCAGGAGGCAGGCAATTGGTGCTTTGCTCTTTCTTTGATGTTTCTCTCTCTCCCTCTCCCTTCCTGTCTCTCTAAAAATCAATAAAAATAAAGAAAAAAAGAAAATCGCATGGGCATCCAAGTAGAGAAAGAAAGTCATATTCAATATGGAAAAAATTTTAACCTGGTTTTAGACTTCACCGTAGCTATCTGTAATACCAGAAGACATTGAAAAAATGTCTCTAAGTATAGAGAGAAGGTGGGATTGAAGAATGTTTATACCCAGCCAAGTAGTCTTTCAAATGTACAGGCAAGTGGGCAGACTTTCTTAACAACCAAGGTTACAAGCAGACACGTATCCTTTTTAAAGGAGTAGTAGCTCAAAATTTCAGAGCCAATGTTGAGTGATAGAAAAATATAGTTAATAGTAGCCTGTGAACCCTCAATAAATGTTGGCCTTAAGATCTGATTTATAAAGCATGTGTTTTCTTGTGCGTTTGCCTTTCATTTGAGTCAGCTGACAGATGTAACTATCAGACTTAAGTCCAAGAAGAAAATGTGGGAAAAATCAAATATTGCATCAGTGGGAAATATCATGTTTCATTATTTGCTTTTCTTTTAGGTATAAATCACGAGATTAAAATATAAAAAATACACTTTGCCAAAAAGTGAAAAATTATATTCTAGCATGTTCACCATGGGCTTTTAGTAGGGAATGAAATGATTAGAACACATTTCTTTCTTAATTCAGTTCAGTAAAAAAAAAAAAAAAAAAAAGCTGGGAATTAAAGACTAGTAATTTTAAATCATCCTCAGTAAATCCATGGACTTGTCTAACTGAATTTAGTTATGCATATTTTCATAGTAATTCCTTCATTTCTAGATATGTCCACTGAATTATCATTTACAAGATATACTGCAAGTCAGCTTTAATATTCAGTTAAGTCATACACAGCACCAGGCAACAGATTTTTAAATTCTATCTCATCTCAGATTAGGAGGAAGAAAAAGAAAGAATGATAGCTAGCTAGCTAAAGACACCGAGACATACACACTCACATTCATGCTCATACTCATGGACCTCTTCATCCTGCTCCAGGCATGTCTCTTCCGCCTGCCCCACTTGTCTCTATCTTTAGCTCTGAGCGAGATGAGTGGGATGAGCCTTCAACCTCTCCCCTACCAGCCTGTGGCCATCAGTTGTTGAGCACAGAGCTGACTGTGTCTGGAGGGAGAGGGAAACCCATGAACTAGAGCCGCTCACAGTGACGAGGGCACTCTGGTCTCCCCACGGTGCGGAGACTTGGAGACAGTGGTATAGATTATCCTTCATTCATATCTTCATAACCATATGGATTCTGTCGAGCGCCCAGGTGCCTAGCCTTGTTGGGGACATGTCTTAAAGTAGTGACGGGCTGCAAATTGTCCTCCAATCACAGTGTGTTGTGATCATGGCCCACATCCTGGTCAAGAAAAGGTATGGGGTTAGCCCAGTGTGTGCATTGTGATGGAGAAGAGAGAGCAGGCATTGTACTTCTCCAACATGAAACACTGTGGCACCAAGGGTTTTAAAGAAACAAACTGCTGGTACAGGTACTGTCCCTCCCAGACCCACAAGGACAAGCTGGGTACCTTTTGAGTTTGTACTGTGCTTCCTCTTATTTTATTATCTGATTTTTAACCACGTGTAACAGACTTACCTTTGGATGAACAGGTATTATTCTGGGATTTGTTAAAGTCAAAACAATTGTTTCTGTGTATATAAATAAATAAGCTGTCTTTTTTTCCCCCACTTTAGATAACTTACATACGACAAGAATACGAAACAAAATTCAAAGGGTTGATGCCAGCTTCTCTAAGACAAGAACTTGAAGACACCATTTCCTCCCTGAAGTCACAGGTAATTACCAGAATCCTGCATTCCCGAGGGTGTAGGGGATTTATCCGGAAAAGACACTTGCACATAACGTCCATCCTGAAGTGAAGCCAGAAACCCATGTGATGCCACAGCATGGCCTGCACCCAGAAGGAATTATTGTTGTTTTTCATTTTCTTACTAGTTTAAGAACCCATTGTCTCAATAAGATTTTCTTAAAAGCTCCCTTGAAATTGAAAACTTATGGTCACTTTAATCATTCAGTCTACATTCCTCTACAGCCTCACCCTTTTAGTCTTGGTGCCAGGCCCAGAGTGCCATCGCTTAGCACATTGCTGACTCCTGGGTGTGTACATGTGGCGAGAAACAACACACAATGAAGTCAGAGTATTTTTATTCTGCTGTATTTTAATGCATTTTAAATTCAAGGCAGAATAACAAGGTATTCAAACAATTAGGTTAAATATTTCTTGCTGAAGTGCGTAGTTCTTGGTAATTTATAAAATAAAATATGAGCGATAATCTACTGAGCTTTTTAAAACTCTAACATGAGAAAGAGTTCACATATTCCCATTTCTAACACACTTAGAAATTTAAAACATATTTTTTCATACGTCAACTATGTTCCCTCTGTATTTCTAAGAATCTTTATATGGCTGAGATTGATTAAAACACTAGCCAGGACCCAGAATAGCCAAAAACCATTTTAGAAAATAAGAATAAATTTGGAGGATTCACATTTCCCAATTTCAAAACTTACTACAAAGCTATAATAATCAAGACAGTATGACATTGGTTAAAGAAGAAACATACAGAGCAATGGAGTAGAATTGAGAGTCCAGAAAAATGCCTACATTTGTGGTCAGTTTATTTTCAACAAGGGTTCCAAGACAGTTCAATGAGGAAAAGATAGAAAGAATGTTGCTGTTACAATTGGATAACCCACATGAAAAGGAATGAAGCTGAGGCCCTTATAAGTTATACACAACTTAACTCAGAATGGATCCAAGACCTAAACATACTGGTAAGAGCCCAAACTATAAAACTCTTAAAAGGAAACACTAAGAAAAAATCTCAGATAAAAAGGGAAATCTTTGTACCTTAAATAAGGTATTTTTTCAGCGATGAGACCAAAATTACAGCAGCAGGAGAAATAAATAGATGAATTGCACTTCATCGACATGTAAAACTTTGTACTTCAAAAGACACCATTCAGAAACTGAAAAGTCAAACCTTGGGTTTGCAAGTTACTTATCTAAGAAACTTTTTTTTTAAAGACCACATTTTTGTGGGGAAAGGCTCCATGAGGGAATGATGTCTTTGCTCTCTGTGCCGTGGATGGTGCCTGGCACATAGTAGGTGCTCAGTGAGTGTATTTTCAACAGAAATAGATGATGTAGTTTCATGGCACTCACATAGCTATTTATCATGTGCAAGACAAAATGTGGAGCAAATTTTAGCCGTTGCTTTTCTGTTCCCCTCAGTAAAAAGCCTCTTCTCTGAAAACAGAATGTCCGTTCTATCTATGCTGCTGGCCGGCTGCTGCTTCTGTGGCTGAGAGCTTTGGCTGTGCTCGCCCCTGCATGAAAACAGGTCCTCCCGGCGAGTGCTGTCACAGGAAGGGTTACCTCCTCTTTTTTAGGTGAAAAGCTCCCGGGAGTGTGGTCTTACCCATTAACCTTGTCAGAGAGCTTCCATAGGGTCAGCTAGGTAAGGCCTGGCACCTTCAGAAGAGTGTTTCTTAGAAAAAGGAAAGGAAGGAAGAAATCTGATACCCACCTGCAGGGCTTCTGTTTCATTCATATCATTTCAAACTGGATGTTGACCCAAAGAGAGAGAGAGAGAGAGAGAGCCGTTGCCCGGGCCTCAGCATTGGCAGCTGCGTGGGAGGCACGCCCGCAGAGCGAGCGCATTTAGTGGGAAGCACAGGTGCCTGTGTGTTTTGAAAATTGTTGGAATTCCGATTGCAAAGCACCATGGGGGAAGGGAAGCTGAAACGTGCGATCCTCGCATCTGTCAACATTATCATTGTCCTGTGGGTCATGTGAGCAATTGGATAAAATTAAGATGACGGTGATAATACAACTAAGGGAAACCGAGGGAGCGCTTGGCTATGGACCCACTTAGAGAGACTGTGCTTTCCTTGCGCGTGAGCACTTTCTCTGTTCTGCCAGCTGTACTCTCCTGCTTAACTATGTCTCCGAAGCAAGCGTTGCCATGGTTTCAGTTCAGACCAAAGAGATGAGAGTAAACAATTCCAAAATGATCAAATACCACTGGCTCTTGATTCCATCAAGCCATGGTACACGTTATCCCCAAACAGTTTCTGCTTGGTCCTAGAAGGTGCTCTTGAATTTATAATAGAAATTTATGCTTCAAAATAATCAAACCACGTTGTAAAGGTCTGACTTCAGAGAATATGCTGAGCCACCTAGGCTCCTCCATCCCCCACCGCCCCCGCTGTGAGCTCTGCACTAGGGAGGCAGTTCTGATAGTCGCTCCACCTCATCCTCCTGACCTTGGGAGGCGTCTGTCATTAACCCCATTTTGCAAATGAGGCATCAAGACTTTAAGTAACTTTCCTAGAGCCATAAAGGCCAAAGCAGGAATTGAACCCGAGTTGGCATAACTCCAGACAAAACCCAGACTCTTTCCACTACAAAATGCTGTCTTCAACCTCAGGGATCCCCAGGATGGGTTGAGGTTTCCAGAAGGCCGTAATTTTCTCTCCACTCACTCATTCACCCATTCACCAGCTGGGGAATACCAGCTCCACACCCAGCCCTGTGAAAGGAGCTGGGGGCCAGAGATGAGGAAATGTCATCCTCACCCTCCGAGAGCTCAAGGTCTCAGGGAGAGATATGCAAACAACCACAAGGCCTGCAAGCAGTGCTGATGAGTAGAGCACAGGAAGGCCGGGGAGGGGCCCCGAGGGTGCCAGGCTGGGGCAGGAGCAGTTGGGAGGCGTCGAAGAGTTCAGTGACGTTGGAACCACACAGTGGAGGGTGGATAGGAGATAGTTAGCCAACTATTCCAAAAAGAGGAACGGCCTGTGCCAACAGATACACAAGTGAGGGATGGTGGGAAGGAGTGAGGGGAGATGGAGCTGCAGAGAGAGGCCAGATCACAATGGCTCTGCGTAGGCATTTGAACTTGATTCTGTCACCTCTGGTGGGCTTTCAGTGGGGACGCGATGTGATCCTATGTAGAAACACAATGCAACACCAAGCAAATCCTCTGAGCTTCATCTGGGAACCACACTGTTTGCACATTATTGCTATTTAAGCCACATCAGCTCCTCTCATACAAGGCCTCTTCTCCAGGTTAACTTTCTGCAGAAGAGAGCGTCCATCCTTCAGGAAGAGCTGACCACCTACCAAGGCAGAAGGTATGGCTGTGATCAGAATGCCTGCTGATCGCTGATCGGTTAGCGTGGTTTGCACCTGTGAATCTCCTGTCTTGACAGTCAGGTCTTCATTAACATTCTTAAACATATCAATTTTGAAAAACAAAGGCTTATTTTTAGTAAACAGCCTGTCTTTGAGAAGTCACCACCTCTTGTAATCACAGTGCTTAGTCAGGACGATCAGAAGGAGATGAGAGAATCCACAGGCGTCTGCAAGCCCGGGCCTCACTTGGGTCGTCAGGACAAGAAGTTGTCTTGAAGCCCGGTTGCAGGATTAAGGAGGCAGTGTGATCCTTTTAAGATAGCGAGATGACGCAATTCTTAGTGGTAGGCCACATCTCCCAAGTCCTGTGTCCCGTGGGCGATTGGAGCTCTTACAGATGTTCTCAGACCAGAACAGATAAAAGAGGAGGGGCCGCTAACTGTGCGGGAGAGAGGGGGAGGGGGGAGATCAGTGATTCGGTGATGTCACCACACTCACAGCGACTCAGTGCCCCAGGTGTACTTCTCAGGGAGTCACGGGACCCTCTGTCAGAGGTTCCCAGAGACATGGTGACACAGACCACGTTTACCTGCTGATGTGGTCACACTGCCCCCTGCTCTGCAGGGAAGGACTGAGCCATTCTATAGCATTACATTAAAGTAAGACCCTGTGCATCATGAACTTCTCAAAAGGCGCTGTTGCTTGGTGTAGAGAGGAGTTGACTCCTCATGGGCACAGATGATGACACTTTGATATCAGATATTATTTTTAGCCTCCTTCCATCCAGCTCCTCTTTTTTTTTAATAAATATGTTTTTATTGATTTGGGGGAGAGAAGAAGGGGGAGGGAGGGAGGGAGTGAAGAAGAGAGATAGAGAGAGAAACATCATTTGGTGTCCCCCACACACGCCCCAACCAGGAACCAACCTGGGTGTGTGCCCTGACTGAGAATCACACCACCACCTTTTGTTTTTTGTTGTTGTTTTTGTTTTTTAACTATATTTTTATTTATTTCAGAGGAAGGGAGAAACATCAATGATGAGAGAAAATCATTGATTGGTTGCCTCCTGCACGCCCCCTACTGGGGATCGAGCCCACAACCCAGGCATGTGCCCTGGTTCACATGTCAATGCCCAGCCACTGAGCCACACCAGCCAGAACCTATCCAGGGCCCGTCCAGCTCCTCTTGAATGAAAACATGTTTTATAACTGACATGCCCCTTAGACCCAGAGCAGGTCCTAACTGAGATTTCGGATTTCCAGGTAACTGTGAGGATTCACCCGAGTAACAGAGCATAGATGGCTTCCGTGTCCAGGCTGTTCTGGGGACTGCTAGCAGGTTTGAAGATTTGGAGAGTGTGACGTAAACTGTGAGATCAGTGGCATTTTTTTAATACTTAAGTGTAATTAAGATCATAAAAACGTGCATCACTCATATACTACTAGGGTGGTTTCATTTGTGTCTGCCTAAGTTATTTTTTTAACACTCCTTTATCTTTTATCTTCATACTGTGTGTGTTTGAGTGTGTTCTGAGAACTGCTTATATTGGGAAAAGAAATGATTTCCTATCATTTGTCTGGTTAATGTTATCGCATAGAATTTTACCTGTTGCATATGATCAAAATCACGTTCTGTAGTATCATATCAAAATTTTTAACATGTTTACATGTTCGAATTCATAGTTTATTAAAGCACTGTTTTTGTACTTGTCAATTTTATTTCTACATTTTGTTGCATCTCGTTTGCTAAAACAAGTATGACATCTGCATGGTATTTTTCCCTAGAAAGTACTGACAATCTCCAATTATACTCTGGGGGGGAGGAGGGGGACCTTATGTTGTGGCAAGGATCACATCCATAAGCAGTGTGTTTATTTAGGTTAAAAAGCCCCTGGGTTGTCTGTCCAAGCATTTGTCATGTTGGTCTCTAAGCTGATCCAGGGGCAGAAGAGTGTAAGAATTTTAGGAGCAGCTATGGTTTTATTGTGACTTTCATGGTGGTGGTTTTCATTATGATATTAGTGGGAGCACGTGGGCAAGGACACCCAACACACTGGCAAGTGTTGGCACCATGACCTGCGATGGGTCCGATGGGTCCCGTTTTCACGGTGAGGTAATGTGGTCTTGCTCCCAGGGGTGGATGTTTCTGTCACTGCCCGAGGCCAGTGAGCTGCTCAGTGTGATTGGTTAGCCCTGATTTCCAGAGGAAATTGTGAACTGCAGTGGACGGATGCTCACTATGCTTTGGACTGCATTGTGGTGTGCACAGGGCCCTCTGAGGCACTAAACGTCTGGACCGTGGGCGGGGCTGTCATCGCCGGGGCTGCCATAAAGGACAAGGCCAGACTTTTATTTACACTTCTTCAAAATGCTTCTCTCTTTCCCACGCCCAGTTCTATTGTGTGCTGCCCAAGGATTAATTACCCTCTTTTGCACTGTAACTGAGACATGGAGACGATAAGGAAGCCACTTCCAAAGCCGGGGCCATGGTCCTAAACGCTGCCTCACGGCCAACAGTGGGAGGCCTGGCATTCTGGCACAAAGTCATGGGTGCCCGTCGGCTCTCTGCCTGGTCATGTTCACCCTGATTCCGCCTCCAGAAATGTGTTTCCACCCTTCAAAAGATGAGATTTTTCTTGCATATACAATAAATCATAGTCCAGCTTAAAAATTATCCAGGTGACAGCAAGATGATAGCAGATGCTGTTAAAACCGCCCGTCCAGTGAGGACCGTGATCTCAGACTAGGATTTAGTACTCGCAGGGAAAGATTACGGCCACGTGATTAATTTAACTGCTTCTCTACAGATTGTGAAAAGCGGGTTGAAGCTCACCAGCTTTCACTAGTATGGTTGTTAGCAGCGTGACGTGAAAAGCTTTGTGAATTGCATTGTGTGCTGGACTTGGAACTTCCACTCCAGAATATTTGTTTTCCATGAGTAAATATCAGTAGGTGTTTTGGAAGGTTGCCTGCTATTCTTTCTTTTCCTTATTTCAAGGGTTATGAAATTACAAACACTGGTGAACCTTTGGCATTCCCCAGATCCTGTTTCCTCGCCGAAGCGTGTCTTATACAGCTGGGAGTAGACTGCTGAAACTTTAGGTCAGCTTGATTGTATGTGATAGGAATATGGGGCTGACACTAATGTTTCTGTGAAGGTCCTCTGACAAAGGAAGAGAAAGGAAAATGACGCTTGGCATGTTTAAAATTCCTTACAGAATTGAGCACTGAATACATAAATGGCTACTGAAAGAGAAGGCAAGTGCTTAGGAATTAAATTATAAACACCATGCCTTATTATACAACCATCTAAGATTTCATCCTTTCTTTCATCTGCTGGGAGATCAGTTGTTCATCACAAGGACCTAATTTAGTTCCAATTGGCTGCTGCACCTGGGTCGTCCACCTGTGCTTTTTCCATCTCAACACTCGATTGTCAACAGGTAGTGGTTGGTACGGCCTTGGCAGCAAGCTGAGCAGAAGGAGAGCGGTGGGGTCACAGTGGTCTCGGTGTGTGCTCCTGTCCAGCTGCGGGATGGGGCATGGGAAGGGTTACCATGACGTTAGCTGTCAATCACCTATGTGTCTGTTGGAGTCTGCCATTCCTGCGTCACCAAGCAGGGAGCCCCTGCAGGGCTCTGACCTCCACACACAACAGTCAGTTCTTCAGTGGGCAGCCCTCCGGGGCACAGTGGGGGAAAGAAGAACTGAGGGGAGTTGGGGAGAGGCTGGACAGGCTTGCTTCGGAGTTTGTACAAAAGAATTGAGTTGTGACGCAAAGTCAACAGCTCAGATTCAAACATGATCCTGTAAAGTCACATATTAATAGTGATTTTTTCAGAAAAGGCATATGCTTATAGTGGTGGGCAGCCTCATTAAGGGAACCTGCAGAGAAAGTGCAGAAGAAGAGCTGAGTTTGAATGAACAATTAACAGCCCTCTGATTGAAGTGCATCGCCATCCTCGAAGGTCTTTCTCTGAGTAGAAAGGAAAGGTAAAACATCAAAACTGGGGGGAGAAAAGTTTCAGAACACAAGGTCATTTTAACTCATGGTTTCCTTTCAAGAACTGTCTCTTCTCAGTTTTCATATTCTGTTCAGAAAGGTCGTCTCTTTTAAGCCTTGTCATTACAGACAGTTTGTTCTTTAAAGTGGATTATCAAAGGGTGTAGAAATTGCAAGTTACTGAAACTAAAATGCGTGATCAATTTTAAGTCTGCTAACTAAAGCTTCCTTAAAACGGGGTGTCTTATGTCCTGGCAGCCCCTTTGATAAAACCAGAGAGAGGCACATGGTTGGTCAGTTCAAAGTGGGCAAAGAAGATAATTAGATAAAACTTCTTTTCAACTATTGAAGTGGCTCTTGGATGTGGAGACTTGATTAAGAAGCTGTGGCGTAGGCTGGAATGGTTTTTGAAAAGTAAAAATTTTGATCCCAGATTTTGACCTGTATTAACATTCTTCACTGTATTGTTTTAAGAACAGAATCAAACTTCTGCTCATACTATGTACCTCTCACATGGAGGAAGAGAAACGGCACTTGTCACGTAAGACTGGAGGGGTTTTAAAATCTGGGTCCCTCATCGATATCTAGATCAGTTGAAAATTCCATCTTCAGACATTTCCGTTTTAAGCCAGGATTTTTTTTAACACTGAAGGCCCAAGATGTTGCTGTAGACCAAGCATGTCAAACTTGCGGCCCGCCAGCCACGAGTCTGACATGCTTGCATAGATGCTGCTGCTTTTAGAACAGAGCGTAGCCTGAACATCAGGCTAATAAATGTGCTTCTAACCTCTCTGGGAGTCTCCCATTCAAGAGAGGTCTCAGGGAGCACAGCTCGCTGGACACAGACCTGGTGGAGCAGAAAGAGAGGGCTCTCTGGTGAGCAGCCTGACACGGGCAGTTAGCTAATGTGCGGCGGCGTGAGTGGCACCGTTCTGTCCCGACTCCTCACTTCAGCGGGAAGGAAGGAGTTCGCAGGTGGAGGCCACCGATTAACTTT